CAGGAAGTGTCCACACGCAACAGGAAGTGTCCACACGCATCAGAAAGTGTCCACATGCAACAAGAAGAGTCCGTGCACAGCAGGCAGTGTCCACACACAACAGCAAGTGTCCACACACATCAGGAAGTGTCCACACGTAACAGGAAGTGTCCACACAGAACAAAACGTGTCCACACGCATCAGGAAGTGTCCACACGGAACAAAAAGTGTCCACGTGCAACAGGAAGTGTCCACACGCAACAGGAAGTGTCCAAACACAACAGGAAGTGTCCACACAGAACAAGGAGTATCCGCACACAACAGGAAGTGTCCATTTGCAACAGGAAGTGTCCACACAGAACAAAAAGTGTCCACTCACAACCGGAAGTGTTTACACATGCTGGATTCAACATGTGCTTGGTAATGAAATAGAAAGTAGATTTTTAATGTGAAGCATGCTTCATTAATAAAGGTTTTATTCATAAATTTATTCAATCTCTATATTTTTATTATGTGATCACAAAATTTCCAAGCGTTCAAACAATGTTTTTGAACGTTCAACAGCTATGGTCCCGTGTTTGTGTGAATATATGGCTATGAAACCCATAATGAGTTGGATTAATCTGCTCTGTCCATCACAGACAGGTCTCATCCTTCTTATTGATCTCCGCTGATGCCCATTAGGTTACAATACATGTTGAGTATAAGCAAATATTAATCCCACAGTATGTTCAAAGCCTCATTCCTCTCATTAGTGTCGGTATGGGCAATTTGCTTACCTCCACGCTGAAAATGCCTTCATGGTAAAAATAGGGTAAATGCATATTCACAACACAACCTGTAGGTGCAGTCATATCTCAATTCATTGTGAGGAGAGACTGTGGGGAAGTTAATTGTAAGGCTTGTGTAAATCACTAGGTACCAATATTTTATAAAAGTGGCCAGACCCCCAGCACTAATGCCATGAACTACAATAATATCAAAATTTAGTGTGCCTGAGAGAATGGAGACCACTGGAGTTCATAACGTCCAAAGTAGTCATACGGCACTCCCACAATTAACTGCAGCTGTATAATTACCGTGTTCGGCTTAAAAACAACAGCATGGCAGAAGAACAAAGGTTTCGATGTCAGAGCGAGTTGTTACATGCTTTTCTAAAGCAGTGTGACAAATGGTTTCAAGGCCAATCACAGGATGCAGAAATCAGCAATAATTCAGAGCATTTAACGACTTGGGTAGATCGATGGGTTTATCCAGTGAGATAATAGTGCCTCATGCCAGCAGCAGTAATTATTCTCTGACCGAACTGATGGAAATACACTCATTTTGTTGCCTAATGTTAGATTTCATTGTCAAATATTTAATAATATTTAAATTCATTTTTTATGTTAATTTTTCAGTTATTTCGCACATGCTTTTATCCAAAGTGATGTACAGTTGACACTGCAGGGTCAGGCAGTGTAATTGGGGGATATGGGAGTTGCTGAGGACCCCAGGATTTGAACTGGCAACCTGCCGATCAAACCTGCTGAGTCACATATCGCCCCCATTTTCCCTTATAGATCGTTTTACCCATTTTAATCCCATTTTACCTTTTCTAAATATACTTTTTGAGTCAATATAGAATGGATGGAAAAATGGATGGATGGATATTTTAATCAGAAGTGACAGATATTTGCGGAGGATGTAAATAAAAAGATTGGCTATGAGCCACGGCAAAGTAGACGAAGGGATCTTCTTGTTGGGCTGTTATAGAGCTGTTTTCCTGTAAGCACTCTCCGCCATTATGCTGAACAATCGGCCATGCCGACTGAATGGATATTAAAACATCTCTAATTACCTTCGTCTTTAATAGATCAAGGCTCTGTTCTCAAAATGCACGATGACCTGAGATTGCTGTAATTGGTGTGAAGTGTTTCCGCCCAGAGGAGCACATTAAACATTTCACATGGGCTCATTAAAAGCTGGAAGGTAAATGTTCTAATGGATTTTTTTTTATTTTAATGTTATTTTCATGATGTTCTTCAGAAAATTTTGATTGAAAGAATCTCTATTCAGTACTGGTTTGAAAAAAGTACTTTTTGCAACTTGATTGGAACATGAGATTTCTGCCGGCTAATTTTTGTTTTAAATGTTTCAAAAACATGACAGTATCTTCAGTTTAAGGGGCCCATTAATACTTGCTCTCGCATTTTCCATACCGCTTCATTGGGATTCTTGTCTGGACTGTCCTGGTCAAACTCTTATCTACTCAGTAACAGTCGTTACCCATGAAAACATTTTAGCTTCATTTCTGTTAGTTTTCCCAAAATCCTGCTACACCATGAACTAACTTTCAAAAAAAGTTTCTAAATAAGAAGTGTATTTCATTAACTGTACGGAGGAATATTAAGCAGTAATTATCTGCCAGACTGCTGGTGGCCGTTTCCTTCTGTGTTGCTTTATGTTGTGCATTTCCAGATATTGCCATGAAGTAATATAAGTTATGAAATTTTCCATCCATACGAATTTTATTTCATGTTGGATTGGGCTTTTAAACTGGAATTTGAGAATTACTTGGCTCTGTGAGCATGTCAGCAATGTCTGACCCCTGTTAGCATGTATAATGAAATGTCTGCTGTGGACGAAGTATGGCTCAGTGATAAGACGGAAGTGACGCTGGTTGAGTGTGGTGGTTGTGAGCAGGCAGAAGAGGTCCGTCACTCTGACCGCTGGCAGGTGAGTGGCTGTGCTTAAAGCTGAGGTTTAACCTGCTGTTCCCACTTGCAGGTGTTCTGTGTTGGAGCCCAGGAGGACGCAGAAAGGGGCTGTGTACCTGGTTTCCAGGTGAAGAAACACCAGGTTCAGTACGATGGGGGATTCGTGGTGGGAGTCCCACTCCTGAGAGGTAAGTGCTCAGTATGGGTCAACTGTGGCATTTTTCTGAGTCTCTAGGGCAGGATAGATATGTGAGGCGGGGCCACAGGGGCACGAGCTCCAGCTGAAAGCTGATTGGCTCCCCTGTCACTCAAAAGCTCACAACATATCACTGACCAGTGATAAGGTTGGCCCCTTTTATGTCGTCCCCCCCCCAAACTTTGAAATTGTAGAATTACCCCCGCTCTGGGTTTGCCTGGATTTGTGTTGGAATTTAGGTTTCTATGTTTGGGACAATCGCACAATAATAGTGCTATTGAGAATGCCCCCTCCCCACACACACACACACACTTGTGTATAAGTGTGTACAGAAACCCACTTGTGTGTGCAAACATGTGAGAGTCATGCTTGTGTTTGAACACGGGTGAAATGATCCGATTGTAGCACTTCCACCGGGGATTCTGGGAGAGGTGAAACGTGAATTCTCCGTGAGCCATCTGTTTACTTCACATATTTATTAGAAATCATGCAAATCTGCTTCTAAAAAAAAAAAAGCAGAAAAGAAAAGCAACTGTGGCAAAAGACAATGACAACAGAATGTTCCTGCACTTATGAATTATTCCCCTTCATCTCTCGGTGTTTACCAAAGCTTCCTAAGCGGCGTTCATACAGAGACCACGGCCGCCTGGATCTTATTTGGAAACGTTGAGTTGTCAGTGTCTCTAATGCTAATTTATTTCACTTATGTAGATGGTTTGGGGGGATGTTTAATCAGCTCCATTCATAGGTGCATCCCGCGTGGGACTATGTAATCTGCAGGATACATGCTCATCCACGTACCATTTATTTTCGTGACCATTGCAACATTGTTTAATGTGACTTAATTGAAAATATTTTGCCCATGTCTCTGTAATTTTGCCAATGGGTGGAGTGGATCTTAAAGCTATGCGTTCCTGTAAGGAGCGATGCAGCTTGGTCTGATCTGTGTTCCCGTACCTCCTGCTTGACATGCTGTTGGTCGCCTGCTTCTCCAGAAGGTTTAAGCGTTGCAGTCGTGCTTCCCGGAGCATGAAATGGTGGAGGAGCACGATGGGAAGAAGAAAGGTGAGGTTCTAGTGGGGAGGTGGCCTGGTGACAGGGATCAGCAATCAGGCAGCCCTTTGAAAGCCCTCATTTCAGATAGTGACATCTAGTACTTGAGTTATTTTTACTTTTCAGCTTTTACATATTAAATATTCTTTTTTTTGTATTATACTGATGGAGAGAGTGGGCAAAGGTGAAGGTGGAGATGTGTGTATACGAGGGCTGGTAAGCCACGAATCAATGAACGGCAGTCTGTATAGCCATTTCTATTCATGTGAATTCTTCACAATGCACGCACACGCACACACATACACGCACACACACAGAATTCATATATTCCATATATTAATAATCATTGTGGGGACTGTCCATTTCTATGGGTATAACCCTGATCCTAACTATGACAGCCTTAACCCCTACCCAGCCCTAACCTTAACCATAAGTAACCAAACTAACTACAAGACTTTTAGCTTTTTTAGTCTTTTCGTTGTATTCAGAGGTTTTTATAAAATTAAGTTTTATGTCATGGGGACCTGAAAAATATCCCTGCAAGCTAAAAAGTAAAAGGTTTTATCACATTGTGGGCACATCTGATCCCCATAATGTGGAAAATACACCCCCCCCCCCCAACATACAGACAGACACACACACTACAAACAAACCTTAACTTGGCTATTGTTACTTTAGGGGGAGAACAGAGTGAATTAACAAAAGTCATTTGGATCTAATGGGTGTACAAAATATGGCAATATCCTTGACTGTACATGTAGAGGTATGGATGGGCATGATCCATCACAGGCTAGAGTTTAGGCACACACTGTCAGGACAGGTCCCTGCCCTATCCCATCAGTCATTTCCCGTTTGGCCAAAAGGTATCGCTGACCACCCAGCTTCATGTTCCCCTAGTTTAGTTCCCACTCTGTTCCTTATGTTCCCCTAGTTTAGTTCCCACTCTGTTCCTTATGTTCCCCTAGTTTAGTTCCCACTCTGTTCCTTATGTTCCCCTGCTCCCTGAGCCACCACGTGGCTGAATGGGCTAAGCAGGTGGCTGTCGTGGGTTCGTCCAACCTTCATTGGACTTTCTGAGTTTTGGTGTTTTTCGTTGTTTTCGTGTACTTGATTCTCATTCCATGCCTGTGTTTGGTTCTGTAGTAATTTCTTGTTTCACATGTATTCCTAGTGTTTCTGTCCTCTGTTTGTTAAATATCGTCACCTGTTCCTGGTAGTTCCTAGTCCCTTGTAATTAATAAAGGTCCACACCTATCCCTCATCATACCCTCATTACCGTGTATATTTGTGCCTGCCCTTGTCCTGATTCCGCAGTCGGTCATTGTATGTGCTGTGTTGTGTTTGATTCCTGCATGTTCTCTCTACAGTATGTGCCACATTTGTTTCTGTTTGCTTCTTGCCTGTGGTTCCCAAAGCTGTTGTTGTTTAGTCCTTCTTCGTTCTTATTTCACCCACCTGCCTTTGTTTAGGGCCCCTCATGGTCCCTTTTGGGGTTTCTGGTTCAGTTAAATAAACGCCTAAAATAAAAGGGATCGTCCATCCGTCATTCCAAGCTATAACACCCACTGGCTCCTTTTAATCATTGAGTTTAGCACTTTGAGGCTTAGGTGTCTGTTCAGCAGTTTTCACTCCAAGTGACAGGAGTGACAACAGTGAGCTGGTGTAACACTGAAAAACGTGGAACTTGCTGGAATAAACACACTGGACGGACGATTTAATGAGAGCAAGGAATGACAGCGATTGTCTTTAGATCACTAATTAGTAGGGAAGGGGGCAAATGCATTCTTTTCTGAAAACAGAACTGGATCAAGGTCTAAAACTGGAGCACTGGAACTCTGACTGCTGCAGTGGTTTGTCTGTCTGTACTGGCCTGTTGTCTTATCAGCTTTTTTATGACCCTTCAAAACATTCATTTTAATTTCTAATCGCTTTCATACAGTATTGTATTTCAGGATAAAGAAAGTTCCAGAACTAATAGACAGTGTTGCTGTTGATATCAGGTAGAGTGTATAGGGTCTTTAGTTTTATTTATTTTGCAGATGCTTTTATCCAAAATGATATACAATTGGTCAGCCAGTCCCTGGAGCAACTGGGAGTTAAGGGCCACACTCAGGGACCCAGCAGTGAAATCACTTTGCTGACTGGGATTCAAACTGGCAACCTTCCAATCTGAGGCACCAGCCCACTGAGTCACACACCACTGCTCTACATCTGTTGCTGTGAAATTTATACTCTTATGGGCAGGACAGAGGGTGAGGAGCAAGTTGTACCGCCGCCGTTCTTGGACTCGTTTCTGGATCGATGCGTAGAACCGGGGGTTCCCGACCTTGACCGTCCTCCGCCATGCTGAGCGGTCACTCCTCTACGCACACCGAGAGTGCAGCCGCGTGGAGTCGGAGAGGAGCACTGACCTCGCCACAGTCAGCTGCACCGCCTTGGGTTGGGCGGAGGGAGGGAGCAGGAAGGCGGAGGCGGGGGGGAGGTGAGGAGGAGGCGGGGGGGAGGTGAAGGCTGCAGGTTTAGTGTAAGATCTATGAAGGGAGCCACTGGTTCTGATCCCTGCCCTTCATGGCTCTTAATGAAAGGCAGCTGCTTGTAGCTTGAAGTTCAGACCTGTTCAGGTGTATTAGGGGGGCAGTTGGGGGGGGGGCGGTGACAGCTGGGATGAGGAGGCAGGAGAATATGTACAGGGTCATCGATCGTCCCCGTCTTCCCCATCGCCTGTTGCAGTCTGTGAATTTCACATCTTGCTCTCTGGAAAGTGTAGCTGCAGATACTTCATATGTAAATCAGAAATGCAAGTTGCGATTGGACGTCAGCCCTCAATGTTTCTCCACCCCCATGTTCAGGTATGGGCAGCTCCGGAAACTCCTTTTGATAATTCAGGAATCCTCCAACATAACTACAGTACGTAGGAGTCATTTTGTCCTTCTGGGAGGGTGTCCCAGTCTCCAGACTGGTATTGTTTGAGTGTTATTTTTCAGTGTATTACAGCTATATGGCATTCTGTCACAATTCAGTGGGCTCTTGCTTCTGTGCAGCAAACAATGAATACAGCTGGTTCGTTTTGGAAACCATCAAGAGATATAATAATACATCGGCCCAGACTGTCGAACCTTCGCCATTGTATAAACACTGTTCCGTTCTTTGGGATTGCAGACCGGTGTCCGTCTAAACTTCCATGCTTACTCTGTCTATCAATGCGCCCATGTTTATGAGAAGTTGGCGCGCCATCGTTCTGTTAATGAGTCAGCAAAAAAATGAAGGCTTTATTCATCAGCCACTGTCATGTATTTTTCAGTTTCACTTGGCTGGAGGCGGGAGTGCCCTTGACCTCACATGAGATCCGATGAGGGCGTAAGTGAGTTGGTCTTCCGCCTGGGGCGTGTGAGTTCTTGGCCCGACGAGAGGAATGCACGATGATGCAAATTTCCTGCACGACTCGCTGCACGGATATCCGAGCACGGCGATGTCTGCCGAAAGCTCTCCTTGCTGCTCCCTTCCTGAGCTGACCCAAGTGTTTGTCTGGGCACTCAGGACAAGCAGTGTGACGGAGTGTGTCTGCAGACCCCTGTTTCTCAAAGAAAGATGCCCCCACTTATGCACGTAATTCACCCCCATGCCCCAAGCCTACTTCAACATGTGCATTTTAATGTCATTTTTCTGCACTCCTATACCAGCATTCTTCTCCCCTGAATGTTTACATTCCGCTGCGCTTGTTGACTGGCTATATTATGAGATTATTATTGAACCAAAAGACTGTATTTTATTGCTGCCCTAGGTTTTATACATGCTTTCGCGTGCTCGCTTATTACAGAGTAATAATTTAGCATCTCGCACAGGAAGAAGTTTCTGTGCAGGCTATGCGTCACATGATGCTTTACTGCTTCTGTCGATGCTCCCTCTCTGCTGTTTAATGCACTGACCTGTAAGTCACGC